CAACAGTCGCCGGCGCAAGAGCAATGGCTGCGGTAATGCAATGGTAGGAAACTATTGGTGATAATAGTGAAAGGAGAGTAGGCCTATAGTGGAGAACATTAAGAATTTGTACTAAGTAAATAGATTTCGTATTTAGTTAGCATTATATTTTTATTGAAATGCTTCAAGTGCCTGTGGTTTCCTATGCCGTGTAACAGTCGGAGAGCCTGTGTCGGTTTAAGTGATACCGTACTGCGTACGGTGTAGCGCGTAACGTGTAGTGTGTTACAGTCCCACTCCACTCCTCTCAAGTCTTATCTTGACTTGATTCTGTCCTGTGTTTTACTTGTATTGTCACTTGAGTGTGCTTTAAAGTTATTTAACACACCGTATCAGACACACTCATGTCTCATGACACATGTCATGTGTTGCAGTGGCGTTAATTTATTCATTTTTTTTAGACAAATCTAATAATACTAGTTTCTGCCAGCTGATAACGACAAGGACCCTACCGTCACAATGGATTTCGATGTTGCCGCCGCAGAGCAACGCGCCCGGAGGCCAAAGTCACTGTGTAGTACATCCGAAGCAGATGAGATTTGCCAGCCCCAGCCGATCGATGACAGAGTCCTCAAGGACCGTCGTCGCGTACATAGAGCGGTTCGATGCCCTCACGGAAAATCGCACCAGAGGCATCTCGAAACAAATCGAGATGCTCGGTGCACCGTCATGCCAAAGTTCACCAACAGACCGCGTCACGCACGTCGTATTCAAGGGCGGCAACGCGCACGACCCAGCAGAGGGCGCTGAAGTCCGTGTCCACCTGGTGTCGGTGCTGTGGGTGGAGAGCTGCGGCAAACCAGGACGCCACATGTCCGAGAACCTCTATCCGGTGGCGAGTCCTGGTAAGTCCACTTCCCATCGTCGGCCGGCTGCGAAAGATGAAGAGCATGCAGCCGAAGGAGTTTGACGAGGAAGTGTGCCCGCAGCGCGATCGTCAGCAGCGCAGGCAGCGCATGCGCAACAAGAGACATGCTGCCCGAGTTTCTCTTCACCACGCCCGAGCAGGGCAACAGCCCGCTGTTCAGTCGCCGAGACGCAGCCGCCGCCGCTCCGCCGACGCTGGCAGCGACGTCTCGCTCTCCGTGCCGGACACTCCGACGTACGTGCAGCAGTCGCGGCTGCGCACGGAAATCATGCAGAGGCTGCGAGCCGGGCGGTCGTCCGGTGACAGCTTGGCGTCGAGCGCCGGGCGACGCGACGCCGACAGGACAGCGTCGTAAGTCGCCGGCGATGGATCGCCCTCAACAACGTGAGCCCGCGTGCCACCGCAAGCTCTTCAGGAACCTCGGCGAGGGACGCGACAAAGCGGCCCCGCGCTGCGATTCCGACGACTCCGCGACGGTCTCCCACGGAAGCAGCGCAGCGACGGCGAGCAGGCAGCGGGCAGGTCGTGTCAGCCCGGCGGAGGTCGTCCGCCCGTGAAGCGAGTAAGAAGAAGAGGAAAACTGTGGCTGTCAACGCAGGAGCCGTCGTCTAAGCTCTGCACGCCGCCCGAGACGTCCCGCCGGGAGGGTGTCCGGCTCTGGAATCATGATCGGAGGGAAGAGAGAGCGGGAAGCCCGCTTAGACCCGCGTGGGAGTCGGCGAAACGACGCAAATTCAACGAGCACTGTCATCGAAATCCTTAAGGACAGGTGATGGCGCCGACGCGGACGAGTCTAGAGGAGTTCAACACCTCGGCCGCCCGGAAACCACGCCGATCTGCTGAGAAGAGTTTCTGCCCGCGATGGGTCCATGTTGCCGCAAAGCAACGGCGCGCGAGCTGGAAGCACCAGCAGTCAGGCAGTCGCAGCCGCCAGCATCGTCATGACGAGTCTGCATGCGAGCGAGCAGGAGCTGCGTCATCGCGATCGTCGGCAAGCTCGGCCGCTCCTTCGTCTCCGCCGACACGTCGGCTGCGACACGAGCACGTCGTCTGCGGCCGCGAGCGCGCACGCTGAACGCTGCTCGCGGCGATTGCGCGCGGATGCTGGATTTGTCTCCGTTCTCGTGGGCTGTCGAGTCGCTCGAAACTGGCGCGTGGCTCGCCGAGACGCCCTACGAGTGCCGTCGGTGTTTTCGGCGCCGGCGCGGCTCGCCGTGTGTGCGAGCGGGAAGGAAGCGGCCGGCCGGGTGGCGACTCTACGGCAGCGGTTTTGCGCGGTGTGGCCGCTACACGTTTGGCAACACGGACGCTCCAGAAGAGAAGATGGGTCAACTGCTACAGCAGTGCGGCGGCGGAGGGTGACGGCGTGCATCGCAAGGCCGACGTCTGTGTTGGCGGGCGGCGAGCAACCAGCACGCCACGCACTGTGACGGAGAAGTGGCGTCTTCGATTCGATCACGCGCGCACGAAGCACAGCGCCTTGCGCGATACTGTCACGGAGCAGGGTAGGTCAGCCAGCCCCGAGTTCTAAGTGCAGCTGCGCTCAACTCGTCAGTTATTTAGTTCAAACTTGCCAAAATTGTGAACAGACAAAGTGTTAGAGTGTCACGTTTTGAATGTGAGTAAAGCTTGGTATTTTACTGTTTTGAATGTGAGTAAAGCTTGGCATTTTACTGTTTTGAATGTGAGTAAAGCTTGGTATTTTACTGTTTTATATAATGAAATGACAGCAATTTCTGATTTGTCACTCTTAGCTGCTGATCTGCTTTTTGATAAACATTCACATTGCATGTAATAGTAGTGCAGTAATTCACAGTGCATGTAGTAGCCCATTTACTAATGATATATCTAGAGAGAAGATGAGAGAAAAACAGAAAACCGTTTTTAAGTGAACTTAATTTGAGTTAAGGTTAGACTTTAGTATCACATTTGTTAATAGTATATATTATCTACGTAACGATGAAAGAACAAAATGACGAATTAAATGTATTAGAAAATAGACTTATATTGTGGTTACAAGCTCAATCAATTTGTGAGGGTTTACCCACACGTTTTTAATAAATTCAATTATTACCGCATGTATATAAAAGTGTGTTAACTATCATTTTTACAAGTAGTTGAACTGGTAAGAACACGTATGCTCTGCTACCTACACGAAGCAAAAGTAGAAAGTCTAAAACAAAGAGCATGTAAACTACTAGCTACTGCCAACATGGACATTCACGTTTTTGGTAAAACAAACTTATATACTTCACATAAAAGCTCATTTTCCATGATTTAATGCGACAAACCTTCAATTTTTGCCATAACATGAATTTATAAAATACCTGTAATTCTTTCATAAGTTAAATAAAAAAAACAGCAAAAGTCAACAGATCAATATTAAAGGGATAGTAGACTCTAGGATTTTACTGCATATAACTGTATTTACTGTATAACAAATCGTCTATACCCACACGTATTTGTTACCAGATACCTAATTTGATTGTTATAATTAATTACACATCAACGCTACGAAATTTGAACGGCGCCATGACACCCGCGACCATGCTGCCACCCTGAAAAAGTTGCGTATTTGCCCATTTATTTTGCACGTTACAGACCGAGGGCTAATCACAAAGGTGCAATTATATTCATACCTAAATGCTATTTAACCAAACGATGTTCATTTTAGGACAAATTTATCCATAATATAACTAGAACTATATGTCATTTATAAGATATTACAATCCTTTTGCTTTTAAATTAATAAATAAGAAACACCCTCGGTCTGTAGCCCTTGGCTGGAAAGTGGTTTTGCGCAACTTATCAGATCGTGCACTTTGAGTGGCGCCACCGTCGTTGTAATCAAACTAGTCGTTAGTTTTAAAACATTTTTTAATAATATTTCTAATGGTGATTGAACCATGAAACTTTTTATGTAGCGTAATTTTAACCTAAATTAACTGAAAATAACCCTAGAACCTAGAGTAAACTATCCCTTTAATGGTATTTGAGAACATTAGACTTGGAAACCATCAGAATGAAGTTTGTTCAGTGCATGAACGAAATTTCGAGTGCATGTTGGTGGCAAGCCAACAAATCTTTCAGAGCAGTGGCACTACACAAGTGCTACCATATCTATGAAGGTCTAAAGTGAGCTAGCTCATGAAATAAGAGTTACCTGCTCTAGTAAATAATGCTTGCCAGCTTCTAGTCTGGGTTGGAATATTGCTTAATTAATTATTAGTTGTCATTCCACGTCATATCAAGCCAGGCTTGAAATAGGAACACATGAGCAATCTTGCTTATATTGGATGCATCCACTTTTACTGAATCCTGACTGCCTTCATCATACTGAAGTTTCTGTCAGAGAGGGTAGAGTGCATGCAAATGTTGTGGACAATCATGATATGTTATCATTGGGTATTCACATAGATGCCACAGCTTTCTATCCATCTAAGTAGCAAAACCGTCTGTTAACATACTATACAGGGATGAGATTCTTCCGCGGATCCGCGGAAATCCGCGGATTTGACAGTCCCAGGGGTCGATTTTGTGAAACGTCTAAATTCGTTGAGAAAATTGGGAGGGGGGTAACAATGTAACAATTTAAATTATATACCCTCAACAGCACCTGACTGTAGACTGTAGAGTGTAGACAGTAGGCTGACAGCGAAGTCTACAGTGTATCTGTTTTTGCGTACCAGAAAAGAAAATCCTCGTTCACAGGCTGCAGTAGAGGGGCAAACATTTGAGGTAGCTGATCACGTAACGACCATGCCTGGCCTGGGGGCCGGGTTTACATGTTGCTGCGTGCATGTTGTGTGCATGACTATGCACTGATTGTTCCATTCGCATTGTGTTTTTTTTCCATTCAAATCTCGTCGCAGCAAGGCAGCTTATGTCTGAGTAAAACAATGCAAGCGACGGGTGGAAACAGAAAAAGATCATTATGTCTAGACATTTAATAAAAAATTTGCCCTATTTTCACCCACCTGATTTCCTATTATAGTTCGTTTGTTCCTTTTGACAACTTGAAAAGGTGATTCAAGAGTCTCCTATAATGTGTTCAGAATAGCTTAGAATGCACCAAATTGCACCATTCTTTTAAAAAAATTCCGGGGGAGCATGCCCGCCGGAAAATTTCAGCTGAAAATTAAATTATCCAATCTCATCCCTGCATAGAACTTTGACTATTTGAGGTTACAGGGTGTTGCATGAACGGATGACATAACACGACTAAAACAACATCACGTAAGGATGCTGACATCGACGTCATTACAAAATGTCATCGTGTTAAAGTAAGCTTCACTACACGAAATTCCCAGGCACACTTATATTTATAAGCCTCCCTGTTTGCCACTAAACTTTGCTGTAGATTCTCAAGACCATTTCAATGACCAATTATACAGTGACCACTGTAAGATTAATCCAGATAATAAAATGTAGGCTCATCACAGCTTGCTTGAATACTACTGCAGCAGAATTGGCTGACCGCTCGCGCTTGGGATCGGTTGGTTGGCCTCGTACACAATGCGCCCCCTGACGATGGTTTTGTGAACTACGCCGTAGAAAGGTCTGTTCAGGTACGGTGTCAACTTGTGTCGATGCTGAATCATACCAGTCTCAATCTGTCGGCAGAACAAGAGAAGAATGTATTACTATTCCTATAAATTGTTTTGTTATTATTTTGCTGCACTTCTCCGATGATGTGCCTGATTGGTTGACATTTCTTTCTAGTTATTTAGACCTTAGTCCATTACCATTATTGTGGCTTCAGGATCCCAGATGACAAAGTCTGCATCTTTGCCGACTGCAATGCTGCCCTTGCTTCCGTCGAGGTGACAGAGTGCAGCCGTGTTTTCACAGAGAAGACGCTGTACTTGCCGCAGAGAGAAGCCTTTCTCCTTAGCCCCAGTCCAAAACAGAGACAAACCTAGATGAAGACACTGCAAACTGAGGAGCCGGTAAACGTCCTAGCGAGTTTGTGCCTTCCATGATAAAAACGCTGCACATTATGCTGTTAATTACCGGTATGAATCGACACGCTCGCTGCCATCTAAACTTGTCTAAACTTACTCTAGACTGAAGCTCCAGAAGCATAGTAGACAGGTCCACTTGTCATAAGCTAATAGTACTAGGTTAATTGTACTAAGTCTAAATTTAAATTTAAATCCTCGAGAAAAAATTTATACACAATAGAATAATATGTATATAAATAATAATAGTCATTTACCGAATTGCAGTGACGATATTCCGCCCCAGGCAGTCATGAAGTTTCCCGTTTCCGGGTTCTTCATTTCCGGCGGACACGGAGAATGGTCGGACACTATGGTCTGTATCACACCGGAACCGATCGCCTCCCACAGAACATCCTAAATGAAAAGAAATTAATCATAAAATTAGTAAATTGTCGAAAGAATTCCGAGTTTTTTTTAAAGTCAACATTCTTCGAACATACTCCAAGTGTGATTGAAAGACCGCACAACCTAACAGCCGGCGGCAGCGTATGCACGGGTGGATTGGAGACGCTTACCTGGTTCGATTTCTCTCTCACAGGGGGTGCACATTTGTACTCAGTGGCACCCGTGGGGACTTCCTCAGCATAGAGAGTCAGATAGTGGTTGCAGGTCTCGACGGTAAGAGGTGCGCCTTCGCTCTGCGCTTGCCTGATGATCGGCACCGCATCGCCAGATGACAGATGAACGATGTGGCAGCGCACCCTGGTGGAGAAAAATCCTAGTGTAAATCCAGGGTAACAGGCGGCCCAAGGTCATACGAGATGCCAATAAGGTGAGAGCAATGCTGCCTCATGGGATCAATCGATAATTACACACACATACACGTAGTAGTTAACTGTGGTAAGTGTGATTAGTGTACTATGATTATTTCACATATTTAGGGCCTACAGACTAAACCAGACTACAACAACAGTTACTACCCAACATGACCAAGTTACTCTGTATCGTGGTAAACAAACACTTGCTTATATTGGAGGCACAGTCTGCACACTAGCTTGATTGCATCTTGCTCCCACTCTCTTGGACGAGATGCTAAAAACGTCTCGTATTTCGTCACATCACCTGAAAATGTGAAAATATGACATGAATGAGTGTTCCTAACTGTATACGTTCATCACCATCAAATATTAGGTCTAAACAACTGAGGTGGATCGCACAGATTTCATTCAAAAATATTCATGAATGGACAACCAGGTGCCACTACTTGTCAGCAGCAGTAACTCATCAATCATGCAATATGCTACTAAAACTCTATCGTTGCTATAACGACTAAACTAATTGAAGAGCCATGCAAAGTATTTCACTATCATGACTAAGATGTTAGTTGTGACTACTCTCATGTAACAAAAAATAAAATAATTATATATGACAACACCAGAAAGATGAAATATACCTGTCACATCCGTGCAGCCGCATGAATCTAATTCAGCGTGAAACTGGTCGTAGTAATAGCACATGCAATATCAAATAAATATCAGAAACAAAATAGGTTAACACAAAAATAATAACCATGCACCAGCTTTGTAGCTATGAGTGCATTTTGAAGATTACGGCAATTAAATTGTCTCTAAAAATAGAAAAGTCAGCAGAAGAGCGCAGTAAATTAGAACTGGAACCACGAGTGTTTCCACAGTGGCATACATTAAATAACAATACATAGCATTAAAGAAACTCTCAAAGCTTCAGCTCAAAATGATAGCTTATATGTTATCCTGGAAGTGTAACATATTCTTACCTGAATTGCGTGCAAAAATTAAGTGCAAACAGATTAAGAACTAAAACTAATGAAAAATTACATTATATACAGAGCCATCGAAATCAACACCAATGCTATTTCACAAATATTTACTGCTCATCTAGATGTTACCACAGCAGCATCTCTCACCAGCAGCACAGAGTTGGTTCCCTTCATCTGCGTCATCGCAAGATGGAGGTCTGCTTCGGAGACATTTGGGAACTCATCAAGGCCGCTGTGGATCAGGAAGCATTTAAAGCCAACAACTCCTGCCTTCACCATGGGCACAAGTTCATGCTGCAACACGACACAGAGAGTTACAATGCAAGGTGCTATATGTATAAATAGAGTATAAAGAAGAGCAGGAATGCAAGTCAAACTTATAACGCACTTATAATACCATAATTGTAGGCTAATGATTATTATAATTAAAAATGAAATATTTAATAAAATATAATAAATTAATTTTGTATAACTGATCGGACAATAATAAACGCTCTCATTTGTAGCAGCAGAGATAGAACTTTGCAGTAGAAATTTATTCACATTGTCACACTGATTATCTGTAGATCTAGATTCTTGTAATATGGTAAGAAGATTTATAAGGAATGGTACTATAATGGTATAATAATTTAATTACTTGATTACCAGGTACCACTCCTCCCCAGAAGGCAACATCCACGTGACATTTACCAGGCATGCATGCAAGTTTGGTTTCCAGTGCTTGAACTGAGGTGGTCACTGGACTGCAATTCCTACATGGAATTATAATAAAGTTGACAGTTTTGAAGAGGCACTGTAACACACCTAGTTACAGTAGAAGAGAATATGTAAGTGTATGCGTGTTATAGACCAGAAATCTGTAATTTTTAATCTGTGATTACTCAGTGGTTGGCAGGATCAGTGTATGAATTGTGATAAAATATAACTTCAAATGACAACTACAATTTAGGTCTTCCCAGAATCTATGATGACAATTGTGACAACAACCAAATTGCAACTGACAGCAAAACAAGTGCCGCAGAGCGACAGCGCTCATTTAACGTCTACTGCGGTGACTCTGTGGTGGAGTGGTGGGATTCTAGTAAACCCTGTTAGTCCCAAATGTGTTCACACACGCGCCGAAACAGTGGAAGGCACAGGGATGGTATCAGGAACCTTCTCAAAGGAATGTTCGTTGGGATCGTTATGAAAGTTGCCACGAGATGGCGCGTACGTTTAAGTGTCTTCAGATTAAAGATGGAAGCTCCCATCGTACGTAGTAGCAACAACTATTTGCAAGACAGAATAGGTAAGCACTCATCCATTTACCTACGCAAGCCTACAGGCTAAAATAGAGAGCTGCCGCCTGTAACTAATTAACGCAGGCAAAAACTACACAGTACTATTACCACCACATGCACTGGCAGTGGCATACGTTACATGTAACACACTGACAGTACAGAATGCCATAGAAATTATACGATTTAAGGAGCATAAACCTTCTTCAACCAAATTTAGCTTTTGAAAATTCACTGTGACATTGTAGCCTCATACATCCAAGCATGTATAGATTCTACTAGCAAACCTGGCAGTCAAATTCTTTCTAACAGACAGTAAACAAAACCATGTTTAACCCTCCTCTTGAGGGTCAAAAGGTTATCCGACACTTACTCTTCGCATGTCAGCAGAAAGTACATTTCATGGTCCTTTCAGTAAAGCCATAAAAATGGTAGGTCACCACTGAAACAAAAAAGTTTTTCAATCGCTCTGTCAGACCTTGTCCTCAGAAAATGTCTAAAATCTGCCCTGTGCCCCATTGACCTTTGACCTGTGACCTCCAATTTTGGCACAGTGATGGCTTTTCCTACCATGATGCTATACACCGACTATCACGAGCCTAGGTCGAGCCGTTTAGATTTGTGCCGCAATTCTGCATTTCCTCCCTATACCTTAAGTTAAGGAGGGAATGTTCCCCCTTCTTTTACCTCTTGACCTTTGACCTTTGACCCCCAGCTTTAACATCCCAACTCGTTTTCGGATTACCCCCCCAGGTCCCAAATATCGTGACCGTATGTCGAGCGGTTAAGATTTGTGCCCAACTGTTGACGCACGGACGGACGGACGGCCGGACGCACGCTCATGCGACTCTACAAGTTGCATCTGACTATATATATGTCAAATGAGCTAAACATCTTGAATGCATGCAAGTGTAGTGCAGACTTACAAAGGCATATCAACGATGGTAGTGATGCCACCAGCAGCAGCTGCCTTGGTCGCAGTCTCAAAACCTTCCCAGTCAGTGCGACCTGGTTCATTAACATGAACGTGGCTGTCTACAATTCCTGCCATGACGACCAGCCTTCCAGCATCAATCACCTATCAAACGAGAAGCACCTGCTTCACAGTTGCACAGTGTTTTGCAAATCACACTTTTATCTGTAGGAAAATGATTAAAACACCCTTCCTTTAAGTTCGAGGTCCGGTGTCTTCTAAATTGAAGCCATAATTCGAGTTTGACCATCAAGCTATATTCGAATTTTGCGTAGGGGAGAGATAGTGATCCGCTAGGGGACGGCTCTGATTGGCTAATTTTGTCTCTTATTTTATTTTATTTTTTATTATTTTTGGCTAATTTTGTTTTATTTTAGAATTAGGGATAGGGTTAGGGTTAGGGTTAGGGTTAACTGATTTCTATATCCACAACTTATTTCTATATTCACTATCTCTCCCCTGAGACCTACTAGCTATATTCTTGTACCCTTGATCAATTTGTAAAGAAGGAAGGAGCTAAAGAAAGAGTATAGCCAATGGAAATAGAAAATGTCAGGTAATGCAAAAGAAAAGGATTGGGAGAGTGATAAAGGTTCATGGGGGAGAAGCTAGGCCAGAAAAGAAACCTATATGAGAAAGTAAAAACCAAGGAAAAGAAGAAAGCGAAGGATTCATTATATCGTGTGTGTGCGACACCAACAAATATAAGAACATATAAGATAACAAATAACGTAACAGGGTGCGGAATTAATGGGAGTCCGGAGTCAAATACTCCCTGATTTACTGTCGGACTCCCTGATTTGAAATATGCAGGAGGAGTCCGTGGGACTCCCTGGAAATTCTGCCATACTATACTAACTAGTTCGTTCCAGAGCACGGCCTCGCGGAATTAACGTATTTTTTCAGCAAATGGCCAAAGAAAATTTGGCAGACGTAACCGTATATGAATTTTCAAAATAAGCATGTGTTATTGTTAACGCCGTGGCTATTCTTACGACCAGTCGTAACAATTATGTATGGACTATTCTGCAAGGTGTCTATATACCGTCACCTACGAGTCGAAGCCGTACTACAGGATTCGATACAGGCTCCGACCCAGGATTCATGGGGAGCCAGACAAGGCCACGGCTGCGAGCGTATATAAGGACCGCCCGGGATTGACTCGGGGTGCTTCATTCCACCAGACGACCAGGAGAACTGATCGTGTAAGGATCAACCCTTACAATTCTTACGACATGTCAGTGTGACATCAGTGGCTATCTATACTGTATACACCATAGATAGTATATAAGATAGCCGAGTCGGTTTATAGTTGGGGCTAGGGTTAGGGTTGGGGTTAGGGTCAGGGGTTTTGCATCATTCCTTATGTTATTATAGTGAATGCGCATGCGTTACCGGAACTTCCCCCATGTCGTAAGAATATATAGTCCATAAATAATTGTTACGACTGGTCGTAAGAATAGCCACGCCCTATTTTTAATAATAATATCTTTAATTTTGAACTTCAGACTGCGGACTCCAGCATTTTGTTACGGACTCCCTCTTTTTGAGGGTAGGGAGTCCGTTGGACTCCCGTCTTCAAAAGTTAATTTCTACCCTTTACGTAGCCACAATTAAGTTCCCTTCTCGCTTAACACTACGTTGGCGAGAGTCCTACGAGGTGTAACTTACGTTCTATACGACGCACAGGCACTTGAAGCGTTTCAACTGTAAACACACGCCGCCGCCATTGCGCGCACACTGACACATAAATATATATATTTATGTGTCAGTGTGCGCGCAATGTGCCGGCGCGTGTCGGTTTACAGTTGAAACGCTTCAATGTGCCTGTGATACGAGTGTACAGTGTGAGAGCGGTCGGTTTACCGGTTCAGGATAGAGACATGGTCACAATAAACAATGACAATGTTCATTTACACATCAATATAAATATAATATTATTCAATTCAAGTGGCGTCAGACGCCATGCCTTTCAGGCACCACCAATCCAATGATACCGCTGGCGGGACCATGGGGTAGTATAGGATCCGTTATTGATCTTCTCCCGAATGCTGTTAACGGTAATCTATGCGCCCTATAAGGAGACGGGCAGAGAGTCAGGTCAGGGGGGTACAGGGGCGGGTCTAGGGGTCGGTCCCCTGCCCGCGCAGAATACGCATCTGAGGGGTTCTTTATGTTTCAAAAAGAAAAAGAATTTTCTGGGGGGAGGGGCCCCCAGGACCCCCTTGCGTCTAAGAAACGTTCAGTATGTCTGAGGAAGAGCGTTGCCTTACACAGTGATAGTACGACAGAACCTAATAGAACATCCTAACATTCAAGAACAATAACTTGTTGTGGGTATGCTACGGAGCCCCCCCCGTGCGTCCAACCCTGTACACGCCTCAGGTCACCTGTAGCTATCAATTTTATATCAAGAAATCTGGCCCATTTCTGTCCGTCTACTTCCTATTCTATGCAGGGCAGGCATGCCGTTGCGTTATATTGATGGGGAGCATGGCTTTGCTCGGGTCAGCCGCTTTCAATGACAATTTTACAGTTGTTGTGACACCAGTACTAATTGCATCATGTCTTGAATGGAATGTATTTCGGGAAGGTTACCCAAAGTATCCCTGTAAAGTAGAGAAAATTATTTGAGTTTTGGTCATTATGATATTTTAATCTATGATTGCTAACAAATCTTTCATAATCATCATGTAATTTTCTCTAAAATTACAGTGAAACAACTTTTTTGTGCTAAATTCACAACTGCCTCAGAATGTATCCAGAGCCTCACCACTTTGTCCTGTAATTTCAAATTTTTTTTTTTTCCGGGGGAGGGCATGCCCCAGACCCCCCCCCCCCCTAAGGTGGCTTGCTCCCCGGGGCGTCTATTTTTCCGTACCACAAATGCGCGAAGGGTTCCTCTGATTGTGCTGCTTTTGATTGCTCTGGCGGAACCAAGGGTGTTGCTATTGCCCGTGGGTGAACCCGCAACGTGGCGAGCACTTGAGTGTAGGATAGTGTTAGGTTGGTTACGGGTGGTTTAGGTTACGGTTAGTTAGGGTTAGGGTTAGTTTTTTGTTTCAATTGTTTTAATTTTTAATTTTAAGGGTTAGTGATCAGTCGTTAGGGTTCAGGGGTAGGTGGTAGGGTTAGGGTTAGGATTTTTGCAGTCATGATATCTGTCCAGCACAATAGATAATTTTGTGAATAACACTGCCTTTATATAGCTGGGCGACACTATACCATATTGTAGTGTGATGGGGTGTGGTGGCGGTGTTTGGAGTGAGGTTACCGTTAGGGGTAACTTTTGAACGTCATATCGTCAACGTTATCACGTGAACCTCGCCTCTCAGCACCAATCAGAGAACCTTCGCGATTTGCTGTACGGAAAAAATTAGACGGCTCCCCGGGCTCGCCCTAGGCTATCACTCGAAAGCCGCGGCACTATTTTATTGCTTCCGACGCCTTGACCATATAATATAGCCTATACGTTAGGTTAGGCATTATGGGTTAGGGTTAACGGTCAGGGTAGTTAGCCAAGCACATTGGTTTCATTGGACCCATGTTTCAGGCGCGGATTAGGCCGTTTGCACCGGTTTCCTGAACGGTCACAGGCTGGGTATCTTCAGAATTGACCTTCAAAATTTACCTGTTCAAATATAGACTCATCACACAGACCATAGTGTCCGCGTTGAATTTCCATGACCTTTCCATTTCTGCAAATAATATTAGCACAGCAGACTTCGTCTGTATTATCAAATATTACAGACTGTCCTTTAAGCAACGTATTCATCTTGCAGGTACAGATGTCTTTGACCGGATTATTGTTTCGCGAAGATGACAAATAGTACGCCGCCTCACCGCCTGCTGTCGGTCTGTGATGTGAATCGCTTTGATCCGAAACTTACCAGTCAGCTGTTGCAGCAGGGTGCGCCACTTTATTTTATTGTTTTTTATTTATTTATTTATTTATTTAGGTACTTATCCATGACAATGAATGATACATGCATAGCATACTTATTATAGCAGTATTTTTGAAATTCACGATTATGCGTTTAAGTATCCCAGTATGCTACTTAACAGTGACCAAAGGGAACAAGAAGTTGCAGTTGACGGGTCAAATATGTGGCATATGTAGGGCATTAGTGCATTAATTTATCCTAAGATTACAAATAACTTACGCACGCGCGGCACGTACGCAATAAAGCAGGCACACACGTACGCACGTACGCGCATAAAGCAGGACACGTACGCACTACGCATAAGCAGGCACCACAGTACGCACGGTTCACGCCATAAACGCAGGCCACAAGACGACGTACGCAATAAAGCAGGCACACACGTACGCACGTACGCAATAAAGCAGGCACACACGTACGCACGTACGCAATAAAGCAGGCACACACGTACGCAATAAAGCACGCACACACATACGAAAGAACGCACGCACGAACGCAGTGGCGTAGCTAGGATTTTTCAGCGGCGGGGGGGGGGGGGGGAAAACCATCCGGGGCCATACATTTTCGTGGGGCACAATAGTATAATTTTTATTGAGATGTGCGTTCGAACCTTCTTTCATTGTATTTACTGTTCTTAAGGGCATTGTTTTTATATTCAAATTTTTATTAAGGGAGAGTTACTCTAGGTTCTAGGGTTATTTTCAGTAATTTAGGTTTATAATATACGCTACATAAAAAGTTTCATGGTTCAATTACCATTCGAAATATTATTAAAAATGTTTTAAAAACATACGACTACAGTTTGTACAACGACGGTGCGCCACTCAAAGCGCAGCGATCTGATAAGTTGCCGCAAAACCACTTTCCAGCCAAGGCTAGCAGGCGAGCGGTGTTCTTATTTATTCATTTAAAGCAAAAGGATTTAATATCTTATAAACGACATATAGTTTCAGTTATAATATGGATATTTGCCTCTAAAATGAATATCGTTCAGTTAATAGCATTTAGGTATAAATTATATTGCCATTTTGTGATTAGCCTCGTCTGTTAACCTGCAAAATAAACTGTCAAACGCAACGTTTTCGGGGTGGGCAGCACGGTCGCGGGGTGTCATGGCGCGTGCAAATTTCGTTGCGTTGATGTGTTCATTTATAACAATTAAATGTGGTATCTGGTTAACAAATACGCCTGTGTGTATAGACGATTTGTTATCACAGTAGTACAGGTTGTAGGCAGTAAAATCTCAGAGGCTACGTTGTCCCTTTTAAGCATGAACTTTCAGTGGGGGGGCACCTGGGGGGGGGGGCACAGAAAATTTGTCCCCCCGTAGCTACGCCCCTGCACGAACGCAAGACTGCAAGAACGCACGCACAAAAAGGAATTAAATATATAGGGAGTATATAATATGATACAGCAATGTGACCATAAAAGAATGGGAACATTAACAAGTTTGATGGTTATTAAAAACAGTCATTAAATTTATACTTGCAATTTTCACTTATACAATGACGTACATTTACGAATGCACACAAAGAACAAGTAAATTTATAACAATAGCAAAAACTTTAATATTAATTACAATAACCTCAATGATTTCAAAAATATGGGCTTGATATTTTTTTTTTATAATTTAACATTATATCATACCCTTCCTAATTTGCCACTCAATTCACTATTAGTAATAACAATTTATATTTAATCAGTTCAGTCCGAGAGTGAGAGCTCACTAGCACTTTACATGTTACAGATTAATTTTCATGATTAACAATTTCATTACAAAGGATCGAGATGGTTGTCAGTTCTATTTTATCAAGCCAATAGTTGATGGCAATCTATTCTAACTCCTGTATGTGCTCCTTCTTGGCACGTACAAACCACTCATTCCATGACCCATCATAGACGGGCACATCCTTTTTGCCCAGTAAGAATGCTGCTAGTGATATAAAGCAGGCTGTGATACCCTGTCCGCATGTAGCTACTATTGGTTTATTCAGGTCTACGCCTTTAAACTTCAGTATCTAGAACAAAAATAATATATAGATTTTAGCACTGGTATGATAGTGTAGGCAGAGTGTTGCTAATATATTGTATTTGCAGTATATTCCTAGCAAACAATATAAATTTCAGGTAATTTTTGCTGAAATAATTGTAACATTTTTTTCTAGATACATGGAAATATTAAGTTACCATTTACTGTCATCTAATATTATACATACCTTTTCTAAATCATCCTCGGAGCGCATTGTCTTGGTAAATGGGTCCATAAAAGCAGCATAATGCAAGCTAATAGATCCGGGCACATGTCCAGCCCCAACAGCCTCTGGCAATATAAACCCCATATGCATGCAGTACCATTCATGTGAATGTTAGCAATATATTCAACCATAAACAACTTTGATAAGTGAGTTACATAATTACCCATATGATCCCAATTTAACTTTCAGCTAGAAACACAACCGTGCCTGCATAACAATTGACTAAATTTTAAACCTGTACAGTAACAGTGATATATACCTAACCATTGACTATATTATATTATGAAATTGGTTTATTCACAACGTGGAGAAATGTGGATTACAATTCAATGACACACCGTCAAGCTGGCAAACAGATTTCATAAAATTACCAAGTTTAAGATCGATAAATCACCTACCACCAGGAACTTGCTCCCATCCTTCAAATCTGCCCTGACTTCTAGCATCCACCAGCTGTACACTTTTGGACAAACTTCCATCGATCACCAGCTTTTCAATGTCATTGTATGAGCGTACAAGTTCCGGCCGATACTCTGCTCTGAAGTTGCCACGCTGCACATGGGTAGTGGCACGTGTAAGTGCATTCCCTGCCACACAAAAATAGAATAGCATATGTCAGCAATTCAGGTTGTATTTAGGTAGAATGTAACTATGCATTATGAACCCTGCTTATTGTAATTTCAATAGATGATACGGATTTATTTTATAGCATTCGTCACTATAAATTTGCGTATAGAACTTAACCAAATAGGTGCTAACTGATTTAACTGATTTAACTGACTCAACCCCTCACCAAGGTGTGGGGTGGATAGAAGGGCAGGAAGACTAGGTCTTGTGTATGCCCCCATCTAAAACAACTTGGCCACCTGTCCTTTGAAAATGTTAATGGACTCTGCATTTACTGCCTCTTTTGTGAGACCATTCCAGTGCTCGAGGACCCATACACTAAAAAAGAAATTTCTTACATCCAACCTGGAATGTGGAGTAAACAATTTGAAGTTATGGCCCCTTGTATTATTGTAATCAGACATGGTGAAAATTTTTGTTGGACCTAATTTCTCCATGACCATGAATTAACTTGAAAGTCTCGATGAGGTCCCCCCTCAATCTCCGTTGTTCTAATGATATAAGTCCTAATTTTGTTAATCTCTGCTCATATGGAAGGTGGTGAATTTCGGGTATCATTCGTGTAGCCCTTCGCTGTACTTTCTCTAATACAGATGAGTCTTTTTGAAGATGAGGGTTCCATGCTTGCACAGCATACTCTAGGTGGGGACGCACCAGTGACTTATATAGTTGGAGGATTATTTCCTTGTCTTTGTAAGATATGTTTCTATATGTGATTCCTAAGACACTATTTGCTTTCTTCGCAGCTGTAGCGCACTGTTTGTGTACACAGGGCTACCAGTGCTACCAGTACACAGGGCAGTAGTTAGCAGGAGGGAAGTCCCCCGACAAAAAACGATTACATGGTCAATGGGGAAGTGACCACAGTCAATTGCCCGGCCACAACACAAAACGCATGTGGCTTTGCACCCTAGGCAAAATAAACTAGCTACACTCGTGGTACACATATTCATGTCATAACTCATTGATGAATTTCACCTGCTGCCAACCACTTTCCTAATCCACCACTTAAAATGGATACTTGGTCATGACCGAACACGCGGAACATCCACCACACTCTTGGCGCATAAAAGAAGCCCTTGTCATGTCTTTCACATACAACAACATGACTATCGTTGCTCACGCCAAGCTGCTCAACGTAGTCACTAAACAACGCCGGATCGGGAAGCATGTACTTGAGACACAATTCATTTTTCAGCTCGGAACATGCGCCAACATTAAAGAATGTTGAACCGCCTATGTGTGCTTCATCATACAGCTCTTTTATGCTCAAATTTGGTCCGCATTCTAGTAGTCGTATCTTCTTATCAGATTCTAAGAGTGACTTTAATTCATTTACAGATAAAAGAGTTTTAGCAGGTTCGGTGGAGGAGGAATAGTATGAGCTTTGAATACGAGTCAACGAAAAATAAAGTTTCTGGGTTGCCGGCCGAGTAGTACTGCCGCGGGTACTGTCAAAGGTTTGCTTTAATAATACGCCTACGGCAGCACGCCCCTTACTAGCATACCGTGCTGAACACCACAGAACCATATTATTAAAACTACAACAAGATTATTAAACACTACTCGATAATAGTAGACTATACACGCCTAAACAGAAATCAACAAATTTGTCAACAAAGTCTCAAGGACATGCGGCAGCGATGTTCCGGGTTTGATAGAGCCAGTGGATGAATGATGAATGATGAATGTTATTTCTCGTAGTTCTAGATTCTCCCACTACGTGGCGCGCGTGCAAAATGTTGCGAAATGTGCAAAATGTGGCGCGCGTGCAATGACAACTTTGTTCTCTGATGATATCTATGGAATAACCATGAATGAATAAATAAAAATAATGAATTAAAATTAATTAAATAAATTAAATAATTAATAATTAATTTAACAATAAATAATTAATTTAATTAAATAAGTGAATTAAAATAAATAAATTAATAACCACGTGCTCTGCATTCACCTTCAGATCGCGGCTGTCGCACAACATTGTTGAAATATTTCAATTATTTTTTTATTTCTGTTTAGGCGTGTATAGTCTACTTTCTCAGTCTACTTTTTCATAATCTTCTTGTAATGGTTCTGTGGTGTTCAGCACGGCATGCTAGTGGACGTGCTGCTGTAAGCTTATTATTAAAGCAAACCTTTGACAGTAGTAGTACCAGTACTCGGCCGGCATCTAAGAAACTTTATTTTTTGCTGACTCATAAGTCATACTATTCCTCCTCCACCGAACCTGTTAAAACTCTTTTGTCTCTAAATGAATTAAATTCACTCTTAGAATCCGATAAGAAGATACGACTACTAGAATGCGGCCCAAATTTGAGCATCAAAGAGCTGTATGATAAAGCACACATAGGCGGTTCATCATACTTTAGTGTCGGCACATGTGCCGATCTGAAAAATAAATCTCTCAAATACATGCTTCCCGATCCGGCGTTGTTTAGTGACTACGTTGAGCAGCTTGGCGTGAGCAACGATAGTCATGTTGTTGTATGTGAAAGAAATGACACAGGCTTCTTTTTTGCGCCAAGAGTGTGGTGGATGTTCCGCGTCTTCGGTCATGACCAAGTATCCATTTTAAGTGGCGGCTTAGGAAAGTGGTTGGAAGCAGGTGAAATTCATCAATGAATTATAACATGTGTACCAGGAGCGTATACGCGTAGCTAGTTTATTTTGCCTAGTGTGCAAAGCCACATGTTTTGAATTCTAGGCAATTCCCCATTACCAATGTATAATAGTTTTTGTGGGGGGACTGCCCTCCTGCTAACTACGGCCCTGTTAGCTCTAGTACTACGCGGGCTATAGTAATAGAGCTACGGCCCTGTGTACTGGTAGTACCTAATGGGTAAAGTTCTATGCAAAATTCTAGCAACAAATCCTATAAAAGACATCAGTATGATTGCCTATTGAAATTACACTTATCGAGCAGGGTTAATAATGCATTGTTACATTCTACCTAAATACAACCTGAATTGCTGACATGTGCTATTATATTTTTGTGTGGCAGGAAACACACTAACTCATGCCACTACCCATGTGCAGCGTGGCAATTTCAAAGCAGCGTATCGGCCGGAACTTGTGCGCTCATACGAAGACATTGAAAAGCTGGTGACCGATGGAAGTTTGTCAAAAGGTGTACAGCTGGTGGATGCTAAAAGTCAGGGCAGATTTGAAGGATGGGAGCAAGTTCCTGGTGGTAGGTGATTTATCGATCTTAAAATTGATAATTGTATGTAATCTCACTGTCAGCTCGATAGTGTGTCATTTAATTGTAGTCCACATTTCTCCACATTGTAAATAAACCAGTTTCATAATATAAATAATAATATAATTATGATTAAGTATACATGCATAACAATTTACCGTACAGGTTTGAAATTTAGTCAATTGTTATATGCATTCCGGCTTGTGTTTCTAGCTGGAGGTGAACTTGGGATCATCTGAGTAATTATGTAACTCACTTATCAAAGTTGTTTATGGTTGTATAATATATTGCTAACATTCACATGAATGGTACTGCATGCATATGGATTTCATATTTCCAGAGGATGCTGGGGCTGGACATGTGCCAGGATCTATAAACTTGCACTATGTTGCTTTGATGGACCCATTTACCAAGACAATGCGCTCAAAGAATGAGTTAGAGCAGGTATGCCTAATCCTTATGACAGTAGATGGTAACTCAATATTTCTCTGTACGTATCTAGAAAATTGTAACCATTATTTTAGCAAAAATTACCAACAGAAATTTATGTTGTTTGCTAGGAATATACTGCAAATACAAATATATGTATTAGCAACAGTACACTGTTATATGCTCAGTATGCTGTACACTCATACTGGTGCTAAAATCTCTATATTATTTTTGTTCTAGATGCTAAAGTTTAAAGGTGTAGAACTGGATAAACCAATAGTAGCTACATGCAGACAGGGTGTCACAGCCTGCTTTATATCACTAGCAGCATTCTTACTGGGCAAAAAGGATGTGCCAGTCTATGATGGGTCGTGGAATGAGTGGTTTCCACGTGCTAAAAAGGAGCACATAAATATACCATGGTCCGACGTGGAAAAATCTGACTAGAAAATGACTTTCCTGGATGTAGACATCAGCAGAACAAATCAATAGAGCAAGAATATTTTGATGTGAAAATGCAAACATATAATTATTTTATGGCTTTTCAGCTCTCAAAAGTGGATCAAATATAGGCCCCTATCAATCGGTATTTATATTCTTCTGAAAAGATCAAAACCACAGGCTATAGCTACTTTTTGCATATCAGTACAGTCAAGAATGCATGGTATGGTTCTTAAAATTGTAATGACAAGATTTGTAGATCTACAATTCTGTAACCCTTCTGGCTCTTGATTAGACCAATCAAACTGAATCATGTCATTGCAAGCACTATATATAGTATCTTACACAAAAGAATTATGCTCAAGAATATAAATACAAATTCACATATGCTAGGGTCAAGAGTACATAATCGCTATTATGTAATCTTGCTAGGGTGTAACGATTCGGTGATACATTGGTGAATCGGAATACAGCAGCCTACGATATGATAATCAATATGCAGCATCAGTATCGCGATACAAACAATAAAGATGTTAAACGGTGAATACGCCTAAAGACAAGCTAAACTATTTTAATCAAGCACATGTGATACCTTTTAACTTGAATTTTTTCTTCTATTAATTAATGAACTCCCCCTCACTGGCCCTCAGTATCACGTAAATGTCCTTTGCTGTCGTAGAAACCTGGCTCAATTAATATATGTGGTGCGCTTGTATTGCTGCCAAAGTTGCCGCTGTGAAGTGTTGTATAATAATAATATAACATTAACAGTTACAGTTGTGAACTAGCTTGTGATGAGTAACTGTTGGGCACTGTAGCAGATTTTCTCGACAACATCAAATTATTTATCAGAACAATAAACATAGAATTCTGAAACTACTCTGGTAAAATAAGGCCGAATTAATGATAATCTGTGTACATATATGCATTTGTCTGGTAAGCATCCTGTGGGGGCTGCCATTTTGGTGGAATAGAGCACCGTGATTGGTTAAAGCTTCTATTTTCGCATTGAGCCACGCAGAAGATTTTAAAATTCCACATTTCAAACGCCCATTACAAACTAATGTGCGAGATTTTTTGGTGATCCCTGATGTTTTATTATCAGGATATAATCAGAAGTAGATAATAGGGAACCCTAGGGTTCCCTATTAGTATTATCAAGAGTAGATTGGTATTATCTACTTCTGATATAATGTATTTAACTTATAGTTATACCCAGATTTAAACTTGGTTCAATGAAGTGTCAAACTGACAAACGAAAGTGAACAATAAATCATTGTTGGCCCATAGCCGAACATGGCAAAGGACGATGCTTCATCTTCACTCTTTCTTTCTTCACGCATACTTCATCTTTACCAGTACTGGCAGTGGCACTAGCCATTAGTCTGTAGAGCTAAGGGCCTACATCTTCACCGACGAGGAAAAGGATTAGGACTGCCATGATTCTGAACATGGAAGCCAAATGGGAATAAATAAAGCTTTTCAGAAGGCTAGTAGTAGGTATTATTGGTATGGGATGGGATCTGATCTAACAAACAGTAATAAAGCATGCGATATGAATGTAAAGAAATAGAAAAGATCACGTTGGCACGTAGCTCTAGTACCCCGTACCTACTAGCCCCACTGATCTCTATAATATAATCATATAATAATATGATTATCTTGATGATTGATGATTGATGATTGATGATTGATGATTGATGATCTCTATAATTATATTATAGAGATCAGTGACTAGCCCGCGTACGCTAGAGCTAGAGCTAGTTGGCCCGTGCATTTCGATTGCTGGACCAACTTTGTCGATGTGACACCGGCAGAGTCAGTAACGCCACCTAGGAGTAGGAGTTATTCTGCAAAGTACTCACCGGCATTATTTCATATTCTTCGCTGTAGGTGGCAGCAGTTCAATCGGTTCGGCGTTCGAAGGTTCGTAGAATCATAGGCCCCTACCGTAATTTATTTAGATTCTAGATTTGCGGGACAGATAAATATTTTTGTTGACATACCTATTCAGTCGTCTGCGTAGATTCGTATTGACCGTTCGTTAGGTTACTTGTACAGTAATGTGCATTCGTTCTTTTTATGCAAAATCTTCAATAATCGATTCCGTGGCGTGTCATGTCACATGTGTTCGCGACGACACACCCACGGGGCAGGCCTGCGGCAACTGTAGTACGCGTACTACTACTACAGCTACCAGTGTACCACGGCCACGGGCTCAGCGAGTCGCGGCTAGCCTAATCTAATTATACTGGTTATATCGTACTATACATTTGTGTGTTTACCTGTAATTGCCCAATGATGAAACAGTGCGTACGCGAGCAGTTTTTTGCACGTACGTACTCACTGACTCCACCCCACAGCATTCAATGATTCATGTCACAGCCTCATTAAAGTCATTTTACAGCATCAATGATTTAGTTTATGTTTACGTAATTTTGCGTATTAATTTATAACAGAGGACTGATCACAGATCGGTGATCCATCTCGGCCAAGCAAGCTTGCAATTGCAAATGCAAGATGTGATGTGGCCATAAGGAATGCAGAATGTACCTACTCAAGGTGAAGAAAAGGATAAGCGAAAAGGATGAAAAGGCATTTGCTGAAAAAGCTGCAAAGTATCAGGAGAGAAAACAGGTTAGAGTTTTCATGTAAAATTCGAGACATCATCAATTACCATGTAAATCTATACAAATTATACATTGTGTGCATGCATATAGCTTACCAGGTTACCTACTTCTGCGTTTGAAGAGATGTTCCAAATTCTGCTGCTGTCGTTATACCTATCTATATCTATGTAGCTGTCTGTCCGTACGTCCGTCTGTCTGTCTATCTGTCTGTTTACATATAAGTACGTTGTTCATGACATGTAGTAACATGCACAGAGCTTTGCAATGTTTTCTATTGTTAATGTGCAGGTGCAAAAGAATGCCGCCGGCAAGAAACATGCGAACGGCTCTAGCTCTCCCCGTACCGTGGCCTACGAAGACCTGCCAGATGGTGCCTTCTTCAGTCGATCTTCAGAGCCACGCGCCACACCGACGGACACGTCCTGCACGTGGCGCCCCCACGGCGAGGAACGCGTCGCGGGCATCTGCTACGTCGGATCGTTTAGCGTCGTCGGCGCCGACACGGACACGCGCGCCGACCACGTGCGTCTCCAGATGGCGGAGCTGCAGCGGCAGACAACGTCCGCCGCGCCTGTCACGCTGCTCATCAGCCTCTCCGGCATCAAGGTGTGCGCGGCGGACAGTGGCGCCCTCGTGATGGCGCACGCGCTGCGGCGCATCTCGTACGCGAGCTGCGACCCGCCGCGGCGGCAGTTCTCGTTTCTCGCGCGCGAACCCAAGGGTCACTACAACATGCAGTACTGCCACTGCTTCGCGACGCGGTCGCCCGAGCAGGCCGAGACGCTGGACGCCCTCGTCGGACGCGTGTTCCGCCTCGCCTACTTGCGCCAGGTCAACGGTCAGCTGACGGTGGACCACCGGCCGGACGCGGCCAAGCGGGTCGACAGCGAGGTGGAGCGGGCCAGCGCCGGGTTTCGCGCCCTGGCACGGCTGGTTGAGGACAGTGAGGGGGCGTCGCCTGTTGCCGGGCACAAGGGGGTGCCGCTCACTGACGGAAATGCGAACCACTGCGTCGGCGGCGGTACACACGCGGGGCGCGACACCACGCCCTCGCCGTTCATGGGTGGCAGCGCATGCCACGTGCAGACGTTCCAGAACGCACGGCCACTGTCGTCGGACGCTGCCGACCGCAAACGCGTGTCGGCCGGCTCGCCTGTCACCAAGGGCAGCCGGCTGTTGGCAACGCACGCGCGCTCGTTGAGCCTCGACAGCGACCCGTGTGTGCGGACGTCGTCGCGCCGCACAGCGCCGATCCTGTACGCGCGCAGCGCAAGCACGGAAACGCAGCCAGCCTTCCTCCGTGCCGGCTCGCCCGCATGCATCCCCGCTAGGTCCGGCGCCGACGCCAGGGCGGCGTTTGTCGAATCCCGCTCGCGGTCGGCCGGGGAACAGCTCCCGGAGCGGTCGGCCCGGGCGACGCAGACCGATGACGTGAGGCGGGCCGCGTCCAGCCGCGACGTGGGCACGCCGGCCAAGTGTGTTGACGCGAGGAGGAGGAGGATGGACACGGCACAGGGTCGAGGATCCCGGGGGGAGAATTCCGTGGATCGGGTGCATTACGCTGCTGGGCCGAGCAAAGATCGCGAGGCGTCGTCGGTGCCGCGTCGCCTTGCCCCGCTACCGCCGTCCGACAGCGAACCGGAAAGCGACCATCCCGGCACGGCGGTCAGCAGCTGCTTGATTGGGTACGAGGAACCGATGGCGACGCGATCCAAGATGGCAGCATCGCCGGCGCACGGGGAGCGGCGAGACAACGAGGCGACTATCGTGCAGACGTACACGGTGACGCGTGACGGCTCGACGCCGCTCGTCCAACAGCCGCTGCGCATCCAGCAGGCGCGAGACAACCCGAGCTACCTCCGCGAGACGACGCCGCCGCCGCCGCGCCGCGTCGAGAGCCTCGCGTCGCCGCCTGTCGACGATGACGACCGGCGACTGCGCGACGCGTGGTGGTTCCAGGCGGGCATCCCGCGCGAGGTCGCGCTCGAGCTGCTGTCGCGCGAGCCGCTCGGCGCGTTCATCGTGCGCGGCAGCACCACGCGCGCGGGATGCTACGCGCTGTCGGTGCGCGTGCCCCGCGACCACACGGGTTCCGGCATTGCGCACTACCTCGTGCTGCGCCGCGACGACTGCGGCGGCTACCGCATCCGTGGCTTCCCGAAGGAGTTTCCGTCGCTGACGGCGCTCATCACGCATCACTCGGTGCTGCAGGAGCTGCTGCCGTGCCCGCTGCTGCTGTCGCGCAGCAACCCGCTCTACATCCACAGCGACAGCGCCGACACGGTCGACTCGGCCCACAGCGGCGAGTCGTCCGACTACAACCGCTTCGCCGAGTTTCGCCAGATGATGACCGAGCTGAAGGTGAACGGCGAGATCTCGCATTGACGTAACCATGGCGACGAAGGAGCAACTGAGAGGTGACGTTGTGTTGCTGTGACGATGGTCATGAAGGGATGTAGACAGCGACTGGGCAGTGACATCGTGTTGCCATGGCGACGGGCGCAGAGCGAAAGCGGTAGCTAGTGGGTAGTGATGTTGCATCGCCGTGGACCACGCAAAGGGACGGGCGCCAAGAATCCTTGAGGATCAAAATCCGTTTTGAAATGCATCCAGCAGTAGTTGGAGTTAGGGCATCGCCATATATTTATGTCGCGAATTTGGAGCTTATGCATTGAGGATGTGCACGAAGGACCTATGCAGTGTTTTCACTCGAAATCAAAATGTTGAGCACGCGTATCAAAATGAATTTATGAAGTTGAAATTACATGAGGAATGTGTGCACAATGAATTTGTCAGCACGGCAGTTTTCTTCCTGGGCACCGTTTTGATGGAGGCGTTTTATATTTTCGTATCTTGGGCATGCATGCATGTGCCGTCATTGTGAGAAGCTTGATGATAACTGAAGCGTTTGCTATTTGCAGGAAAGGTTACTTTTCCAGTAAAAAGAATTGTGATAAGTGTAGCCAGTTGTGTGTTGTGTAAATATTTAGACGCTTTGAAGCCATTGGCATTTTGCACTGATATTTCACAAATTCACGATTCAAATGGTCTAAAACGTTGATCTCTGGGCAGCAAGAAAGTAAGTTAGTCGATGCTTTCCTCGCTTTACGCTTGATATTCGATAGCTTCAAGGGCGGAATTTCAAGGCAAGAGTGCAGTGTGACTGCGGTGCGTTTCCCTCCAGGTGATAGGGCTATGGGTGATGTGCTAGTCTACCACGCTGACACATTCTTATGACGTACAAGCAGAACTAGATTGGATCTAGGAAATGTTGAAAGCCCGGGGGTGGGGGGGTCGTGGCAATATCGGATGAGGCTAAGAATTTGGTGCCGCATCAATCTTTTTGAGAGGCACTAATGCAGTCGGATGCTTCCTGAGCATAATTTCCTTGATCCTTTAGTATATTAGGTACAAAGCAGTAATGGCATTGATCTTGGGCCATACCTTCTCCCCTCCCGAGTCATCCATACATCAGCATCGGCAGAAGAGGGTGTTTCTGTGTGGGAGGTTCTTTGTGGCAATAGGTTCCTGTGAAGAGGACATTAGGAAGATATTCGGGATAGTCTATTCTATGAGATCTCTACGGTGCTTTTTTATGTTGTGATATTATATATTATTCTGTACAGTAATTGTTTTATTATATTCGTAACATTTATCTTGCGGTTAAGAATTGGCATATATTCTCAACCTTAAATAGTATATTCTTGCACTATAGATAGGTTACTTAGTATAGCCATGTAGCTAAGATTTTATACAATATGTATAACATTGCCTAACTGTGTGTAGTGAGAATTAGGTACATAAGACAACGAAGAAGGAACGGAGGTTGGGAGTTGGGGTGAGAGAGAGAGAGACTCAGAGAGAAAGAGAGAGAGAGAGAGAGAGCGCGTGTGAGACGATTGGTTGTGAGATGCTGTTAAAGTATAATCGTCTCAGAAGATTTACTTGTGTAAGTGCTATTTGCATGTAATCGAATCATTCCGGTAGATTGGTGTAGCATAGTCGAACAATTATCCGAAATGTATAGGACGTTGTTGTGCAACCCACAATTCAAAGTATAATGAATCTATCTATATACGTGTATAGCGTTTCTAACATTTTCCATGTGATTTCTGCTTCGCCGTATCGCTTCAGAGGCAGATCCCTTCTGGTTGAACTGCCCCTAAAAAATTTCTCACTGTACACTGATGTGTTTGTGCTTGTTTTGACTGCACTGTCGTACCAGAAATAATACTCGAAAACCTCAATTTCGCATATATATATATACCTAGCAGGCTTTTCTGCATTCACGTCTGTTTTGTAGCCGTGTGTTAGAATAATTTTAGTAGCGGTGTTTTTTCGTCCGCGGAACATTGCACACGTTCATGTGGAGCTTGGCTCTGTTTCCCAGCAATAAACTAGTTCAATACTGTTTGTCGTTGACACATATTTTCCGTGTAATTGTTGCGTTTGCATGCATGCCTTTGCTTCCGGAATCTACCGTGCGCGGTAGTAAAACCTGTAGCTGTGTCACAACCGGAAGTTTAAGTTGACAATGTAGACACACAGATGGACGGACGGACGGACAGATAGGCAGAGCGATAGAATAGACAGGTAGGGTTAGGGACACACATTGGCGTTTACATGTGGTTATATGTATCGTATGCGGCGCGAGAGAAGTCACACGGACATCGTTTTACCAGGGATGAATAATGACAGAACAATTTGCCATTACTCACCATTGGTTTTACAGACGGTTTGCCATATATGCGCATCTTAAAAAAGAGTTTACACCGACTCGCTTAAAGATCGGTCACCTAAATCATTCACTAGCTCCCACCATACATACTGGCAAACCTAATACCCACTGTAGCAGCGCATAGCAGGGTTTGTTGTTCGCGTGGCACAGAGTTATAGTGTTGTACGACATTCCATCGCGGGAGAGGCGGCTATCGGCGTCTCGCTATGAATCGCTGACAGAGAAAGCACTGCGGGCATTTCTTCTCTAAATCCTCGGAGAACGTGGGAAATTCCTTGTGTTTCCGCGCGGCGCGGGAGAGATAAGTGTGCGTGCGTGCGTGCGTGCGTCCGTACATGCGTCTGTGCATGCGTGCGTGCGGGCGTCCACGTGCGTGCGTGCATGCGTGTGTCCACGTGCGTGCCTGCGTGCGTGTGTGCATGCGTGCGTGCTGTGGGTAGGGGGACGAAGCGCGCGTGCGGATGAAACGCACGTGGTCACGGAACAGGTTAGGGCACAATGCCGCTGGACAGCGGAACGTATCTCTCTCTATCTCTCTCTCTCTCTCTCTCTCTCTCTCTCTCTCTCTCTCTCTCTCTCTCTCACCTTCTTCGCGCCCTCTCATTCTCTCATGCGCGTGCGCCGTCTCTCCATGTTCTTTCTCTCGGCTTCTCTCTCTCTAGTCCGCCTCTCTCGCTCTCTCACTCTCTCTCTCTCTCTCTCTCTCTCTCTCTCTCTCTCTCTCTCTCTCTCTCTCTCTCTCTCTCTCTCTCTCTCTCTCTCTCTCTCTCTCTCTCTCTCTCTCTCTCTCTCTCTCTCTCTCTCTCTCTCTCTCTCTCTCTCTCTCTCTCTCTTTCTCTCTCTCTCTCTTTCTCTCTCTCACTCTCTCTCACTCTCACACTGTCGCTCTATCCACGAGGTACTTATGGACGATAGCTGGGTTCTATGCGCTATATCAATTCTAGAATATCGATCTTCTCTATTTCCGTATCGATCAGCGTCATTTCCTCGACGTAGAGATTTTTAGTTAAGATGTTTCACTACTCTGTATTACCAGAACGAGTTGTAGTCTGTAGTATTTGCCAATATATAAATGGAAAAATGTACCGGTATTTGTTGAAATTCTGCAATAGAGAACACGCAATCACCAGTGGTATGACATGACAAAACTCGATCACAATCTCTTGCACTAATAAAGGTTAGCAGTATTATAAGGCCTCCTGTCTATTCAAATAGCCGTATACTGTGGCATATGCACGGTTCTAACCGTGTTAACAGAGCACTTACCCAACGAAATATCGTTTTATTACAAATATGCATATACCGTAAAACGCACCTAAAGGCGAATAATTTAATCGCTATGTTAAATGTTTTTTCAGGGCGGTGCTCACCGGGGTTGGCCACAAAAGAAGGTGGTAGTTGTCTTTAGACATTAGAAGGGAAAATTCCCAATTAATTAAAACAGCCATAAATTAAATGTTACATTTAAACAAGCAAACACTTAAATAACATAATATAATCTCTTCGACATAATTAATTTTTTATCCTACGCGTAGTTTATTTCGTAAAGCCATTAAAAGTATTCCTAAGTAATTTTGCTCCTGTCGTGAATCCGAGTGAGTCTATGCACGTACCTTAATTGCAGGTTAATTATGATATTGAGCTATGAACGAACCGGAAACATGTTAACTCATACGTGTTATTCTGCTACTCTGAAACATGTTACTCTGCTTATATATATATAATTCCCTATTATCTACTCCTGATATATATATATATATCAGGCCCGTAGCCAGGGGGGGTTCGGGGGGTTCGAACGAACCCCCCCCGCGCACACACACACACACACTACTACTACTACTACTACTACTACTACTACTACT